TACTGAAGGTTGTAGTCTTTGATCTTCCTTGGTTCTATCACTGTTGAAATTATCAGCCTTAGTTTAAAATTTTATTTTTTAATAATAACAAAGAAAGTAAAAACCTTGAAAAAATGATTATTTTTCTTGATCGCCAGGTATCTTTTTTCTTCTTTCAAGCACACTAAAATGGAATAGTATAATGCGCCCTAATATGCCCATCATGGCAAACATCCTGCTGACAAAACTATAAAATGTTGGAGGGGCGGGCTTTATTTTTGCATAGCGTTGCCTATAAATTTTGCTTACTGACAGGATGCCAACCCTTTTTGATTATGTGATATTGGCAGAGCAATAGAAGAACCTTCTAGATTGAACACACTAGAAAGCTTCATAATAGTCTGACTTATTTATACGCACCATGTATTTTTAATATCTCTAAGACCCTTATAGACAACATAGCCTTCCTGGTGGCACTAAGTAGATTCCCTGATGCATTCAGAAAAGTTCATTTCTTTGGAGACTTTTACAGATAATGTTGGTCTCATCATATTGTTAACTGAGAGACCAAAAAATAGAATGAATCTTAATGTTTAACTTGCACACAAATATAGTATTGAAATCCTCTCAAATTCTGTTAAGGCTTTTCATGTGACCTTGCCACAAAACAGCAGATAAATCACATTAATTTCATGAAGAATACAGACACAATACAGTTGAAGGTTTTACACAGATTTATAGTCATAATTATTAAAAAAGAGGTGAGCATCGTTCAGTATTCTGAGCTCATATATCAGCCGTCTGGATCAGGACTTCCAAAATCCAACGTCCACCTTTGCTCATTCCCTGCTTGGCATGATGTCACCTTAGCAAGTAACCCAATATGATATTTGTTTCAAATATCTGAAGGAATAAATCTACTAATCTTTTAGGTCAGAAAATGTAAATTAGAAGCATATCTACATCAAGATTCACCAAAGTGAAGCTCACAGGGAAAAATCACAGCTTAATTTTACAATTATGATAGCTAAATAGGCTCAACTCTATATGAGTATACTTTTGGGACAAGCTTTTGACTAATGACCCACAATTAAGAAAACAGTTGGATGAATATCATCTGTAGGGCCATGCAGATGCCTTGGTACCACTCCTAATGATTGATGTTTCACATTTTAGGATGTGACCTGAAATGGAAGAACTTAGAACATAAAACCCCCAGGACTGTGGCTAAAGAAGGCGGCTTCAAAGCAGCAAGCAAAGAAATACGCAAAGCAGAACGAATTGCTAATAAACTTGCCAGGCCAGGAGCCAAAAATCCTAATCCACTCTGGGCCATTAGACTACATGATTGGTCCATAGAGCACGAGAATTTCCTTCGGGAAGCCTTTTCGTTTGTGGACAGAGGCGATGGGACAGTCAGCAAGGAGGACTTTGTGATGGCGCTCGAGGAGAGGCAAGATTTCGTGAACTCGGAACAGCTGTCTCTCATAGCACAATTTCATGAAAAATTCCGGGGAGGAGGGGTCAACATTAATGATTTCTTTAAAGGAACAAAATACTTAAGCAAGACTTATGTCTTGGCATCCTATGGGCCTAAGAAAAAGAAAAAAGGGATAGGCAAGAAAGGAAGGAAAGGCAAATTTGTTTTGCCTCTCCCAATTTGCTTTATCCCTGAGAATACATTTCCACTGCGGAAAGATGGTGGGCTGCCATATTATATGATTGAAACCTACAAGAACATAACTGATTGCAATCGCTTCAACCGAGATCATCCACCAGAGCATCCCATTCAGGATGACTCTGCATGGTATGTCGATGATCCAGGGAAGGTATTTGCAAACATTAACTTTATCACCAAGGCAGGGGACCTGGCTTCTCTGAAAAAAGCATTTGAATCAGGAATACCCGTGGATATGAAGGATAACTATTACAAAACACCTCTAATGACTGCCTGTGCAAGTGGAAACATTGATGCAGTCAAGTTTCTCCTGGAAAAAGGGTATGTTTTTTTGGTTGAGTAAGGCTTAAAGTTTTACGAGCGTTCACAATTCAAGGAAGTGAAAGGATGGCTAAGAAATAAACATTGAACTCCAGAATTTTAAGATGCACAAAACAGTGCCTCAACACTTAAGTTTAGATTACGAATAGATCTTATATGGGGAACCAGGCTAATGGGGATGTGGGATTGTGTAGATACAAAGATAGTTTGCCTATAACAACTAAACCCAAAGTGAAGGCCAGCAAGTTTCCACTGTTGGGGATAGAGAAGCTTTCAGATTGTATTATCACTGGCCTCCTTGGATAACTTAGTTTCATCTCAGGACTTTACCTAGATGGTATGGGAAAGAAAAAAACAGTTGCCCTGGAGTTGATTCCAACTCACGGCGACCTCATGTGTGTCAGAGTAGAACAGTGCTCCTTAGGGTTTCAGTGGCTGATTTTCAGGGGTAGATCACCAGACCTTTCTTCCAAGGAAACTTGGGGTGGACTCAAAGCTCCAACCTTTAGATTAGCAGCTGAGTGCATTAACCATTTGTACCAACCAGGTGTGGAGTCACTTTTTATCGTTCTCTTTTTTTGTGCGGATGCCAGTAAATTGAAACAAGTTGGTATGATGGCTGTAATAACTAAGGACATTTTTTATCCATTTAAAACTTACTGTCTCACTTTAGGAGGTTCAGTTTTTTCCTTGGGTCCTTGAAAATGCTTTTAAAATACCAAAGCGTAACATTTTTTATTTTTAAACTAAAACTATGCTCTGGTTTAATTCCTTTTTCTACCATAGGTGTGTAACCTGGAGTAAGTTTCTTAATTTTTTTATGCCTCAGTTTTCTCATTTATATAATGGAGAGCTAATGGGACTCATCTCACAGAGTTTGTTGACGATTAAATGAGTTTAAAGATACAAAGCACTTATTAGCAGAGTGGTAGCTGTGATAGCGTTGACAAAATGTATTATTATTATTACTATTATGTTTAATGCCAAAGAAAGATTCAAATTTGTATATTATCAAGAGGAATATAAAGCAATTAATGAGAATTTAAACTTTTGGACAGTGAGTTCCTAAAAAGGATTATGTTTTTAAATAATATATTACAATGCCTATAATTTTAATAGTGAAAGGTGCATTTAAAAATTCATAAGATGCACAGAAAGTAGACACAAAATTGGATAATATAACTTCTGTATTTCCTGCAAGCTTTTGTCTTCATTGGATCCAATTGTATAATTTTCCTTTATTTAACCTTGGCAAAAATGGCTACCACCAGGATCTAAGTGCTTTTTAAAACTAAACAAACTATGTATATCCACAAAGAAGTTTAAAATTTTCAGATACTGCAGAACAAAAAGATGTCAAGAAAAATCATGGCACAGAGCTTGTTTCACTTAAAGCTTCCCTGGTTTACAGTTTAACAATCTGATAAAACTGTGAAATCTTATTTTGCATTTTTAGCCTTGCATGCTTGGAACAACAACAATATTTAATTTGTGCATCTATCTTATTTTATAGGGCTAACGTTAATGCAACAGATAATTTTCTGTGGACTCCACTTCATTTTGCATGCCATGCAGGTCAACAAGATATTGTTGAACTTCTTGTTAAATCTGGAGCTATAATAGATGCACCTTCAATCAACAACTCAACTCCTTTAAGTAGAGCTATTGAGAGCTGTAGGCTGGATACTGTAAAATACCTGCTTGATATTGGTGCTAAATTCCAGCTGGAAAATAGAAGAGGTGTGTGTTCATATTATCGATGGTTGGGGTTAGAAGAGGAGCATTTGTTAGGTTCTGAACGCTTCGAATTCTATTCTTATAGGACCACAAACTAGTACAAACACAAGTCTGAGTTAAATATTATGGAACGTGCAATGGGTAGTTTGTCTTATACTCAGTGTTTTTCAAACCAGCTATGGTGAAGGACCAGTTCTTTATACTTGCAATCTGTTGTGGACTGAAAACTTCTGTAAAATAGAATAAAAAATGATTTACTAGAAAAATGAAATGAAAAAATATAAATATGTATGTTGTTGTTAGGTGCCATCAAGTCGGTTCCAACTCATAGCAATCCTCTAGGACAGAGTAGAACTGTCTCCATAGGTTTTCCAAGGAGCAGCTGGTAGATTTGAACTGCTGACCTTTTGGTTAGCAGCCAAGCTCTTAACGACTACACCACCAGAGCTCCATAAATATGTTTAATATATATAAAATAAAAGCCCAAACTTTCTGTCATTAGATTCAAAAGACAGACAATTGTTCTGTCAAATTACTATAAAAGTTTCTAACTAGTTACTCTTAATTTCTGTAGTTATTTCATCGGGACCAATAACCATTAGTTTGTGGACAGGAAATCACACATTGAGCTATCACACTGTTATCAACGTCAATTGCAATAATCAGCATAGTCTAAAGACTCTGTAGACTTTGGATTCCTTCTAAATCTGGACAAAGTAATTCCTGAATTGAGGCTCCCTTGATTCTAGGAAGCAAATGAGAGCCATACCTTACATCATAAATACCATACGTGGTGATGAAAAATTAATTGCAAAGTATTTTGAGATCCTTTTCTGGAGATTTTACTTTCTCACATTGGAAGCCACTGCTTCCTTTTGATCTGAGCATTAATACCTCTGGGTGCCTCAGGTTGCCTCTCTGAATCACCGGTAATATTGTATCAGGCCTGAGGACGTTATCAGGGACATAATGCCCAGCCATCTGCGTAGAGGACTTTGGCCAGCAACTTCCCCAGTGCATTTGGGCTATACCTCCTTACATGATGGCAATGGGAGAATAATGTAAAAATGTGCATCCAAAGAAAATGTGATTAATGTGGGAAGAGAACCGTCAATTGAATATTCAAACAATAATTGACTAATATTTCCTATGGACTTTTTAAGAAACCTGCTTAAAAAAAATAAGGAACTAATGGTTGTGCCAGTAAGTGGCATTTTAAATCCTGGGATTTGAGAGCTAGGTCCACCTTAGAAAATATCTCATGCAGCTCTGTGACTTTCCATATGCCGTTTGCTTTGGTAATCACCCTTAGTGCTGTGTGCTTACGGCTGATGTACTGAGATTTTCCTACATGGCTTATCATTAATCTATTTATTGTAACTCTAAATTTCTGTTTTAATTAGGGCATAATGCCATGGACGTTGCAAGGGCATATGCTGACTATAGAATAATTGATCTGATTAAAGAGAAGCTAGATAACTTGCCAAAACCAGCAGAAAATCAAAAAGTGAAAAGCAAGCCATCTGTTAAACCAAAGACTGAAGGCCTTGAACTTACAAAAGAGGAGGTAAGAAAAGAGATTGACTAACCCTTAGTAAATAGAATTCCTTAAAACACTGTTTGGTGGGGGCACTATTGACATATCATTACACTACATGAGCAAAACAATATTTTTTGCAATCTGTTTTCAACATCATTATGCAGTACTTTTAAAGAAATATCTAACAGGAAAATGTATAACTATTGCTGAAAAGTCTAAAAAGTACTCATTGCAAACAGAATCCACACAAAACCAAATTGGTTCAGCCAAATACAATTAGAATACTGAAACAGGAACAGATATTGAATATGTGTATATTTGGTTCTAAATTATGTAGATACGATGAGATGGCCAAATAGGGAAGGGGAACAACTCTTATGAGGAATGAAGCAAAGCATGATTTTCCTTTATTTTGGTCCCAAAATCTTTCATTGCCTACACCCTCCCCTAAGGAGTTTTAATGTATACCACTGAACCCTATGATATGGAGCCATTTGTAACTTAGATATCCTGAAAAGTAACTCTAAGGTTCTTAAGGTGCCAAGGTGACTGTTCCTGGTAATCTGGAGTGGTTCTGGTGCCTCTACCAGGGGAAGGTTGAGGCTGTTGCCCATGGGAATTACTGAGACATCAGATGTTGCCATTGGCAGGGAAACCCTAAGTACATTCCCAGGCTGGAAACATCTTCTAGGGAGAAAGAAGGTCAGGAAAGAAAAGGCTTAATGTCATCAAATTGCGAAGAGTTCAAAGGGCTTGGGAAATGTAGGTGGTAGGAAGTAGATAGTTACAGGGTTGGTAGGCAGAGAGTGGAGAGTAATAAACATAGAAGACTTGAATAAGGATGGTGAAGGCGGATCAATCAGATAAAGCTCCTACAATATGCATCATTATTTTAGCAGGAATCCATCCTTCTAATTAATTGGATGGCCACAGGTCAAGAATGGTTATCTTGAAGTCTTATGCGATCAGTCACTGATGCTACTAATTAAATATGGTTAAACAATGCAAAGTAATCATCTCCCCCCACCCAAAGTGATACTAATATCCTGTATTTCATTGCAGATTAGAATTTCTATAGTGAGAATTTTAGTTTGTTTTTTTATCTGGCTTCAGAAGAACATGTCAAATAACAAATACCAGAAAGTGTAAATAGATTTTTTTTGGCAATTGATAGATTTTCTTTTGTCTTCTTTCCAGGAACCACTTTATTCAGTTTACACTGTATCGACAATATTGGAGGACAAGAAAGCACATAAGGATAATGTGGTTTATCTCAATTCTTTGATTACCAGTGGTTATACCAAGAAAGTGGACCTCACATTTGTTCCACAGAGGGTAAGTACTTCAGAGCATGGTATGTACTCATAATATCATTTTGCAAATGCTTTTGATGCAATGCACCCAAACAAATGACCAAAGGTTATCTTTCATAGTTATTATTTGTAGATGTCTGCAATTTATTTCCAACTCAATATGTCCAACTTGTTTAGCACCAAAAATCTAGTTCCCTGTATTCTTATTTGTATATCTATGTTTATATTTTAATTCTTGAAAGACTGAAATCTTCTTTGGTCAATGCCATTCCCTACAGCCATTTAGTCACCAAATTCTATAGATACTTTTTCTTGGTACTTCTCAGACTTTACTCTTCCTCTTTGTACCCGCTACTACCATCTCAGCTGGATATTTCCTATCAATCAAGCCTGAATTTATTCAGTAGCCTCCAAAAATGGCTACAATTAAAGAGATGGAGGCATCTTTTGGAGATAAGAGTTGTCTTGCCAGTACCCATCAAACCATGCTGAATAAGAGACTACCATCTTCCTCTGCCTTCCACTATGAAAATAATTTTGACTTCCACCTAAGACATAATGGTAGTAAACGCAGATCATCCTCTCATTCCTTTGCTTCCCTGTCTTGACATTCTAAAAAGTAATATCATCTGGCCCCAGGGTCATCAGAGAGCTAGCTGGAGAGCATTGTTGTATTCAGTTGCCCAAACATTTACCATCAGAAATAGTGATGCTTACATAACCATTTATAACCCTGTAAGAGAAGGTAAAGGTTACATTAAATTTGAGAGTAAATTTGATCGTTTTAAGTTAACTGTATTGAAAATTGTCTTACTAGGAGCATATGTACTGCTTGTCATACTGTCCCTGACATGGATGTGACTTTTTATTTAAGATTTGGAGTCCTGAGGCCACTACAGCAGACCTGATCAGGAAGAGAGAACTGATGCGAGAGCGGTTCACCTACGAGGTGGACTTTGACGATTTCATGATGCCCTTTCAGAAGAACATCACAGAGAAAGCTCGAGCATTGGAAGCTGCCTTCAAGGTGTAAATCAGCAGTTGCTCCTTTGGGTAAAGTTTCGAGGCTCAGAGACAAAACTTTGGAACAAGCAGATATTCCCATCAAAGCCAAAGCAATCCCCAGATTAAGAATTTGTAACCAAATATGTGTTTCTGCTTTAATAACTGTAAACATTCTAAGGTATTCTGGAGAGTATGTATTTTATTTTGCAATGAATTACTTTATCTGTACAAGCAGAATCATATCATTTTAGATAAATCCCCCAATCTGCTTTTAGAGTATAGCAGAATAAATGGCATTTGGATTATAAACATGACATTATTGTCTAAAATTTACCAGATGTTTAGGCTGAGTTATCTAGAGGAGCAAAACTAGTGAAGCAGATATATAAATATATAAAGAGAGATTTACTTCAAGGAAATGGCTCATGCAATTATGGGGACTGGCACATCCCATATTTGTGGGTCAGATGGCAGGATGCTGGCTCATGGAGTTGTTGGAGCTGGTAAACCCAAAATATGCAGGTCAGGTGGCAGGCTGCAGGCTTCTCATGTTCCAAGAACCAGAGGTCAGACGGGACAAGTGCCAGGATGAAGAGAGAGCAAGAGCTTTGCCAGAACATCCATTTGTATGTGTGGATGCAAGCCACACTCCCAAGAAAACTCCTCTTCCAACTGATTGGCTGCCCACATCAGATCCCACAATGGAAAATAGGATCATGGCCTAGCCAAGATGACACATAACATTAACCATCACAGTCCACCCCTTGTAAATTTGGCACCTATACACATCTCCTTAAACCATATATAATTTGTAAATAAAGACAATTATAAAGTCATGCTTGTGCCTAACATTATACAACTAACATGTATACAACCAAAAATGTACTAGCCCCATTTACAGCTTATATTTTATAATAAGTGATGGGATAAGTGAGGGAAGAAAACAAAGAGATTATATACACATACACACACACACATACAACAAAACAAGGAAGAAATACTCATAACAATCACAGTCCTCACTTCTGCAACTGGCCACATGGTCATAGCTGGTATTTAGAACTTTCTTACTTACTAGGCCCAATCAGCATAATGTCATTAATGTAATGGACCAGTGTGATGTCTTATGGAAGGGAAAGGCAACCAAGGTCCCTGTAGACTAAATTATGATATAGGGCTGGAGAGATGATATACCTATGAGGTAGGACAGTGAAGGTGTATTGCTGGCCTAGCCAGCTGAAGGCAAACTGCTTCTGGTGGTCTTTAGAAACAGGAATTGAGAAAAAGGCATCGGCCAGATCAATAGCTTCATACCAGATACCAGGAGATGTATTAATTTGCTCAAGCAATGAAACCACATCTGGAACAGCAGCTGGAATTGGAGTCCCCACCTAGTTAACCTTACAATAATCCACTGTCATTCTCCAAGATCCATCTGCATTTTTCACAGGCCAAATAGGCGAGTTTATTGAAGATGTGGTGGGAATCACCACCCCTGCATCCTTCAAGTCCTTGATGGTGAAACTGATCTCTGCAATCTCTCCAGGAATGTTGCATTGCTTTTGCTTTACTACTTTCCTAGGTTGAGGCAATTCTAATGGCTTCCACTTGGCTTTTCCTACCTCAATAGCTGTTACTGCACGTGTCAGGGATCCAATGTTGGGGTTCTGCCAGTTGCTGAGTATGTCTATTCCAATTATGCATTCTGGAACTGGGGAAATCACTACAGATTGGGTTTGGGGACCCACTGGACCACTGTGACATGTACCTGAGCTAATGCTCTGTTAATAACCTAACTTCCACATACCCCTACTCTAACTGGTAAGCCACAGTGACATTTTGGGTCTCCTGGAATTAACGTTAGAATCAACTCGATGGCAATGGGTTTGGTTTCTCAGTTTTGTTTTGGAATTAGTGTCATTTCAGAGCCAGTACCCAGTAATACCCAAAAAGTCTGATTACATCCTTTTCCCCAATGAACAGTCACTCTCATAAAAGGCCATAGATCCCTTTGCAAAAGGCTGGGAGAAAGATTAATGGTATAAATTTTTGGCAGTGTAGTGAAGTCCTTCCTCAAAGGGACCTGGCCTCTCCTTCATTCAAGAGGTTGTGGGTCTGTAAACTGGCTCAAATTTGGGAATTGAGAGGCTGTGACTCTATTCTGGCAATTCAAGCTAGACTGCCACTCATTTAGCCTAGAATTCTGCTTGTACAGATAAAGTAAACAGTAGGTTTCCAACTATTTTGCTCCTAAGGACACCATGATTAAGTAGCCAATAATGTAAGTCCATATGAGTCAGACTATTCTGATTACTGCTTTGACTCTGCTGTTCATTATGGTAACCACACCCACCTTGTCTTTGGAGATTAAGTGCCATCACTTGGCCCCTACCACAACAGGGTCCAATCAGCCCCATTGTAGTTAGGTATCTTAATTCAGTTAGGGGAGTTCCCACTGTCAAATCTGACCTACATAAAATGGCAATCACGGCAGTCTTCAAGGATGCTGGGGCTCCCTTCACAAATTTGTTCCTCACAGTTGTGGTGAAAGGTGTGACCTCTGGGCACTCCCTGAGTGGGTCTGTGGGTCTAACCTGATAAATCCACTCTAACATGCCAATTTCCCTAAGCCTTTGGACACCTTGCTCGACAGTATACCAAGGCAGTTCTGGCATTTTAACTTGATTTAGTGTATGCCACCTATTAGTCCATGCTTCCATCAACCAACCAAATAAACTATTAGATCCTTTCCTAACCTCTTGAGCTAAAACATTGAATGAAGAATCTGTGCTTAGTGGGCCCATATCAATAAACTCAGAATGATCCAATTTTACGTTCCATTCACCAGTATCTCACATCCATAATAGCCATTCCCACACATATTCCACAGGTTTCAGCTTGTATATATTAGAAAAGTCAAGCAGTTCTTTTGAAATGTAGTGTACCTCTTCATGGGTCACAGTTTGTACTTCACCTCTTGGCGCTTGCTGGGACTTAAGTTTAGTTATAGGTCTAGAAGCAAAAATAGGTTGGGGGGGATGGGTCCTGGGGACATTCAACAATATCTTGGAAGGCATTTTCCTCAGGCTATGCCCCAGGCAATGTCTCAGGCATCACTCAGGTGATGTCTCAGACAAAGACTCTTTAGACTCAGCTAGGTTAATCTTATCAGATGGGGTGGAAGGGATGGTTTTTCTGGGGAGGGTGATTTAGCAGACAAAGCTGGAGTAATCTCTTCAGGTGGGAGTGAGAGGGCTGGTTCTGTTGGAAAAGTGATTCTGCAGAATTTAGGGGCTCAGTATACCCAGCTTCCAGATTATCTACCCATATGTCCCCATCCCAAGTTTCAAGATCCCATTTTTCCCGAATCAATACCCTCACTTTAACTTCAGACATCATTTGAGGCTGGGAATTTAACTGGAGTTGTAATTCAGCCACTCTTAGGATAAGACTCAGTTTGGTGTTCGGCGATATCACCTTTGTTGCTACAAAAGGTTAGGCTTTCTTTAAGGGTACAAATAGCAACTTTCAAGTCTTTTATGTGGCACTTGAGCTGTGACCCTCTAGCCCTGAGCCCTGTCTAGTGAAAGTAGGGCCAACCAACCAGCTTCCTTATACTTCTCACTATCTCACCAGACGAATACTATTATGTTTTAAAAGATATAATTCTAGTGGAAATTGATGAAAAAATATTGAGAAAATTCAAAGGAGAAATTAATTCATGTGTGCATCATGAGTAATGTTTCTTGATGTGTGTGGGCAAAACATTATATTACTATGAATGAGATTATACAAAGGTTTTCCATTTTGCTAATGACTTAAATAACATTTTTGTATTAAAAAATAAAAATAGTAATTATATAATTTCTTAGTATTGTAATATTAAAATACCTTAGCTGAAAGGCATTTAGATGTTGTCCAGTCCCACTTCAGTCATGTTATTAATAAAGAAATTGGGCACAGGAAAGTTAAGTAACTTGCCCAAGTCCTTATAAGCGGCAGAGGTGGAACAAGAGCATAGCTAGCTCATTTCTTATCCCAGGACTATTTCTATTACACAGTGTAGCTGCCTCAATCATATACTGCCACACAGATAATGGAAAGTTTATTTTACAAGGAACATCATCAGAGCACAAGCAAATTCCAGGAAGAAGGTTAAGTGTGTTTCTACTTGAGGACTGGTGAAAGGACTAGCTAATACA